AACAAAGCCAAACCATGTCCCTGCCCTATGGGAGTAAACAGCCCGATGGGGAGAGCACACATAGCAGAGGACTGACCCTGGTGAATTATGTCGCCCCTGTGACTTCACTAGGGAGTAGCTGGGGCCGTGAAAGCAGACTCTTAACCAGTCCCTAAAGCAGGGGTGGGGAACCTTTTTCTGCCAGGGGCCATTTGGATATTTATAACATCATTTGCGGGCTTTACAAAATTATCAACTTAAAAATTAGCCTGTTATATTTGGTCAAATATTTAACTAACTCACCCCTAATGCCTTGTCAGGGCCAGACCAAATGATTTCCCCGGGCCATATGGCCTTATACAGCCCGAGGGGCCAGACATTCCCACCCCTGGTTAGAGTTTGGTCAAGGAGAAAGTCTTCGTTACCTTTTAGGATAAAAGGTGAACAACTGATCTCTCTTAACACCATTTTACAGATGAGGAACCTGAGGTAGGAGGGGTTATAGGACTTACCCACCTGACACGGACACTAAAAGGCAGTGCAGATCCCCGTTTGCCCAGAGACCATCAGTTCAACAAGTTCTAAAACTACACACCACTGTCTGGAAGAGGATGTTGGCTGTTAGAGGTGGGATCCAGGCTCCTTCTCAAGAGAGAACTGGCCCAGTGCAGAACTCTGTAGCCTTGCAGAGCTCAGACGCGGAATTCACCTATTAGCAAAACCTGACAAGATTAACATTTTTTAAAAAGCAATTTTTTTAAAAAGTTTAGAAAGTAGCATCTACTATGGCCATAATTCCATAAAAGAAATGACTTTTACTCCAGAATAAAACCTTAAAGATAAAGCACTGATTTTTACTGTGTGCTTTCTTATTTCCCCACAGAGCGGTAAAACTTTGCGAACAAACGCTCATATGAGGTTCGCAGGAACAAAGCCTCGTAAGAGGCTCAAATGCTCTGCTTTAGACCCCTGACCGTAGCAGGGGCCCTGATTGCCTGCCTCACCCTGCCACGTGCCATCACCGAGTAGGCATTTGATGAATGCTTTTTGGTGATAAAAATGATGAGAACGGAATGGATTTATAATATTTATTACGGTTTGGAAACTACATGCTAGGGGTACAGAGGACCTAAATTGCTTTTCCAAGGTCACATAACCAGTTATGAAAGGAGCTGGTGCTGGAATTTAAATCTTCTATCTCCTTGTTCAGAATCCTTCTCCCTTAGGCCACACTGACTTTGATAAAGGAAGTCGAATAGGATGTCTCCTATTTGCTTGGGGGAATATATTAACCAGGCAAGAAAGATATGATGAAGTCAAGCGTCAGGGACTTATTACAAGATAAAGCAGTATCAACCCCAGAGATCTCAGGAAATTCAGGAATGTTAGGTTCAAGTGGCAAAAAGAGCATAAGGAGGAATGGCGTTTGGGGGAAGGAACCAGGAATGTTTCTCTGTGATAAGGCATAGCTGCTGGCGTGGCCAGGCTGCATTTATGCAGATGCTAATCAATTTCTTGAGTCCCAAACTGGTGACACTTGTTAGACAGGTTTTAAACTGGGAGAACAGGTAGGAGGAGCATCCACTTAATTCTGATATCCCGGGATATATGTATTTCTGATGTGGAATACTGGACTGAGGGGGTTCAGTGGAAAACAGCATTGCAAAATTAAACTTTGTGTGTTCACCAGTGAAGTACCTTTGTATATTACATTTCTGGTATATTAAAATATGGGGTAACCACTCTGTGGCATCTGAGATGAGTTTAAGCAAGAAAAGGAAGAGGAAGTAAATTTGCCATGACAAACGATTTGAAATAACTTGTGGTAAAAATGAAAAAGCTTCCTACAACCAAAATCTGTTCTAGAAAGTGAGCCAGGTAAGTAATAAGACACTTGTTTACAGTTTTGTTGCATGAAAGGTTCTACAGCAGTATGTCCTGTGTTACAAACACTGACAACTGTATAGGATTCAAGTTCTCTGAACTGTTGAGCACTTTTTCTTTTCTAAGAGGGTAACAAGGGCAGGAAGTAGAGAAATTAACCATAGTAAGGTTTTCATGTGACCAAAGGAGTCTGCTGCAAAGATCAAATGAGATTAAGTAGCGGTGTCTTTAGAAGTGCCTTCTGGGCCGGCTGCTCATCACTGCGCTTCCTGGTACACCCAGCTGTATATACCTGATGGGTAAAGTCACCCTCAGCTTCTGGGATGTATTCAGATTCAAATGCAGCTTCCGTTTTTCTGCAACTACGTCCTCTGAGTTCCTAGCTTCCCTCTTTACATTTCATGGCATTCATAATAAATTAACCTTGCCCTAATAAAATCAGCCGACAAGTTCTCCCTTGTAAAGCATCCTAATTTAGTCACTAGATGGTTCAGATATGAGGATGTTGCAATACAATGCAAAAATCGTCAGTTCAAAAGTATTCCTGAACTTCAAGACTGGGTGTTTCTTTGCTTGTTCATTTGTTTTGCTTTTTTTCTCCACAGAGAAATTGTTTTCATTTACTGTGGTACTCGGCTCATTAGATATGCTTATTATGGAGATTGTCTGATTATTTCTGGGATTGAAATACTTGCCTGCCCCATATATTTGCCTAGGTGTGGTCCCTGGGAGAACAGGTGTTCAAGCTGGGAGAGCAGCAGCGACAGTGAGGCCTGAGAGGTGGCAGGAGGAGGAATGGTGAGAGCAGCCCAGCCAGGACTGTTACACATGCAGGGAGTAATACTGACCATGTGGTGTGGATGGCATTATAACCTTATTCCTCCTTCAGGGGGCTCTATAAATACGCACGTTAGTCACCACACTCCAGCTCAGCTTTATTAACCTAAGAATAACCAGTCAGTTCACTGATCATGGCAGTGTAATGATACTCAAATTCAGAACAGTATTGCAACTTTTTAAAAAATATGTTTTTACTGATGTTTTAGAGTAAGAGGGAGAGGGAGAGAGGGATAGATGAGAGAAACATCATCAATCAGCTGCCTCTTGCATGCCCCTACTGGGGATTGAGCCCAAAACCCAGGCATGTGCCCGGACTGGGAATCAAACCAATGACCTCCTGGTTCATGGGTTGACACTCAACCACTGAGCCACACCAGCCAGGCAGTAATATAACTTTTTACATAAGGAAAATGTAAATAAATGCAGATTAGGGTATAGTACCATATTTTGATTTGCCTAATTAGCTAGAAGTAGGTATGAAACAAGCATTCTCTTATATCACTAGTAGGTACAAGCTACTAAAATTTTTCAGAATGTAGGTCTATAGGTATTGGTTTCCTAGGGCTGTCATAACAAAGTACCACAGACCAGGTAGCTTAAACAACAGAAATTTATTTTCTTACAATTTTAGAGGCTAGAAGTCAAAGATCAAGGTATCGGCAGCATTGGTTTCTTCTGAGGCCTCTCTCCATGGCCTGTAGCTGACCATCTTCTTTCTCTGTCTTCACATGGTCTTCCCTTTGTACAAATCTGTGTTCCAATTTCCTCATTTTATATGGACACCAGTCATAGTGGATTGGGGTCCACTCTAATGACCTCATTTTAGAATTAATTATGTTTTTAAAGACACTATCTCCAAATACAGTCACATTCTGAGGCATGGGGATTAGGAGTCAAAAAATAGACTTAAAAATGGACACTTCACTGAGCCATTCTACATTTAGGAAGCCACACTAGAGATGTAAATATAATTCCTCAAATTATAGTATCATATATTACTTTCTTATAATCTGCTTTTCTTATTTGTTATATGCCGGAAGCCAGTCCATCCTTGCTTCTTGACACAGTCGCTGCAGGGAAGAAACATCTGCACAGCATATGTTTCAAGGGACCTGACGTATATATGGCATACTGTTCTTAATATGTTTGCTCACCTTCTTGGCGCTATGTGTTTTAACCAAGGTCACCTCTCCAAGAAAGGTTGTTTCCCCAGGTAGGGATTTTTCCCTGAAGTTAGGGAGGGAATAAAACCCCTTAACTAAGTGCCAGGCGGGTAGTTAATCACTTTAACTACGCACAATCACGCCTAAGCTACATAATCTTACATCCCTGGAATGGAGATAAGAAACGCCCTAACCTTTGGAATAGAAATTGATAGGATTAAGATTAACTGGTATAAATACAGATGTAACAAGACAATAGACCACCAGAACTTGGCTGGAGATCCTGGCTAGGCTGCTGATCAACTGAACGCTGTCTCCGTGTCATTCCTTCTTTGCTGACTCCGTCCACACCTTTGGGAACCCCTGGACCTACTGGGGTTGGACCCCAACAGTTATATATTTTGAACATTTTTAATCTATGTATTTAAACACCTACAGCATCAATTTATTTACTATCTAGTACAGCCGTGGGCAAACTACGGCCCGCGGGCCGGATTCGGCCCATTTGAAAAAAAAAAAAATAAAAAAAAAAAAAAAAAGACCGTACCCTTTTATGTAATGATGTTTACTTTGAATTTATATTAGTTCACACAAACACTCCATCCATGCTTTTGTTCCGGCCCTCCAGTCCAGTTTAAGAACCCATTGTGGCCCTCGAGTCAAAAAGTTTGCCCACCCCTGATCTCGTAGGCTATCATGCAGAAACATCATAATTTAATAATACTCCTGCTTTTAATGTAATTTTTGAATAAGATATATATTTGTACAGTTCAAAAATCAAAAGTTTATAAAGGTAAACCCAGAAGTCTTGCTGCCATCCTACTCCTTTCCTCATCACTAACCCCTTTTATTAGTATGCTTTCAGTGTTTTCTAATACAAATACAAGCTAATGCAAATATACATTCTTATTTCCCCCTGCTTTCTTAT